TTAAATGAAGAAGCTGTTGTGTCAAACGGTGACATACAGCACACGAGGCTTTGATATCATATGTGACACAAAGTTAATGAGATATCAAGTCTGAGGTGCAACACCTCTTACTTTATTGAACGCCTTGATCATTGACTGAAATGGGAGAGACACATATATTACCCCGTGACAGGCCCCAGCGCTGCAGAACTTGCCCGGCTTTGTGTGCATTTGTGTATCAATGCATGAGACGGTACACATGTGAGTAAATGAGTGACACGCTAGTATGTGTTTGAGCGTTTCTACATGTACGTGTGCGTGTCTATGTGTCTGTACGTGTTTGTGTGAGTGATATCAGAGACGGCTCAGACACTGACCTGTTCTGACATATAATATTATTCTGCTGCAGGGGATCGAAACTGAAAAGGGAGAAAATCCATAGTGCACAGGAGACAACGGTGACAGCGAGGAGTAAGAGGTTTATTGTGAAAGAGAAAAAAAAAAAAAGCCTGAGAGAAAGCGAGTGAGAATGAGAAAGAGAGAGAGAGAGAGAGAGCAGCATCAGGAAGAGGACAGAAAGATGAGAAAGAGAGAGAGAGCCTGACACTGAGGGGAAATATATATCAAGTTCTTAACCTCACAGGAATCAAATATAGCAAAGGGACTGGATTGAAGAAGACAAACACTTCCAAATAAATCAGAGAGCGAGAACAAAAAGATGTGTGAGTCTGACTCACTCATGGGGTCTGTTAATAACATCATGGCCTTCCAAATAGCCTCCAGCCTGGAAACACTATTCCAGGTACCGTTCACTGCCTTCCCAATATATTTGTCAGCGTGAGGAAAAACCGTAACAGGTTGAGGTTCTCGACGTTGAGGGAATAGCTTAGGTGATTGTATCACTTCCCTCGCCATATTGTGCTTTATAGCGAACTCGTTCTTGGTTTATATATTGTCTTCTACCAGAGCTGGTGAAAAAGCACTGATAGAAGAAATCATTTAGTCTTTTTTTTTTCTATATGAAAAGCTCCAAGGTAAAATCATATTTAAACCCAAAAAGGAAAAACCAATGTTGACATACCCAGCTTTTGACAAGTTAATTGAGATTAAATTTACATTTATATTACTGTGTTTAAGAATCATTAAACACCAGTTGCAATTGAGATTCACTGGAGGTTCAAACGTACGATCAAACATGGCGACAGCGTCGCTGATTGTCAATGCAGCATGTGTCAATGCAGTTAACGGAGAGGGACAGGCATTAGTGAACCACTAGAGTGCACCCTGTAGCCTTTAACACAATGTAGATGAGTAGGACAGAAACACAGGGTGAAGTGCAGAGAGAGGAAATATAAAGAGAGAGACAGAAAAAAAGAGAGAGGAGGAGGAGGGGGATCAAGCTGTAGAAATAGAGTAGTGTCAGAGAAAAGAAACAGTAACAGACATTTGCAAATATTCTGTGGTGCAGTGAAGGAGATGCAGGGGAGAGAGAAAAAAAAGAAGAAGAAAGAAGTGCAGTATAGAGGATGAAAGAAGAAAATAACACATAGAATCAAGAGAGACATATTCAGAGGGGAATGTCTGCCTCCTTCTTGTGTTCTGCCTCATTGCTGCTGTGCAGTGCTCGCTGCCACTCTGGAGGTGTCACCTATGTCATACAGAATTTATCCATGAAAACCAGATCCTCTCTCCAACCCTTCATCCAGTTCTGCCTCTTGTCAGTCCTACCTCCTCCCACTCGGCTGCTGCTGAAAAGCAACCTTTGTCATAAGACTTACTTATCACAGAGCATTCAGTCTCAGTTGCTAATTAAAGAACCATCCGCCCAGAAGGACTGCTCTTGGAAATGAGTCACAACAACACGTTTAATACGCTGTAGCTATAGGACAGCTCCGGCTCTTTTACTCTCTGTCTCACTAATGCCGTCACCCTTTTCTGCTGATACACAAAGATATTAAAATACTTAATCAGAAATGGCACATCACATATTCTTAACACCATTGTGCTGCTCTTACTTGTGTATATGAGGATGATAAACCATAACACATACACTGCAACACAATCTTCTTAAACGAAGAGGAAGATGTTTCCAGTCGCCATCCATGATTGCACTCTGGATGCATTTCATCACCAGATCATCTTCTATTTGACCTGAAGCTGCAACATCCGAGTCTCCGAGCAGCGAGTGGACTTTAAAATTCCACAACAGCATGATGTCTAAGACTGTCTCTAAAGCATGCACACTCTGTCTAAATAGTCAGCACCACCCAGGGAGCTCACGTGTTCCCTGGTTATTACTGTTGCAATGACACTGCAGTCACATTTTAGCTGCAGTATCCCACTGATAACTGGTACACGCAGGGTGGGACGGATTTTTCCCACAATCTCTTGTAGCCAAGTGAAAAACGGAACCGAGTTTGACTTTGGTCTTGTTGACCTTTATGGTGAACGCCACAGTTCTCCTTCCCTCCATCCATCCATTAGCTACACCTGCTTTATTCTGCAGATGATCTCTGGAGCCCATCTCAGCGGACACTGGGCGAGAGGTGGGCTACAGCATGGACAGCGCACCTGTATATAACAGGGCTGCCACAGTAAAGACTTGTTGTTTTAATGCTTCTGTGCACCAAATATCCACCGAGAGGAGATTGGATCAAACTACAATCTCATATATTGCAGTACTGACACATGCTTACATGGTTTTGACCAGCAGTAACACTGTGACGACATTAGTCTTCTCTACCATGTTAGTCTATTTAGTTTCTATTCTATGTATCAAATATATTGATATGTACTTATGCATTATATGAATGCACTATTTCAGAACTGGATTTCAGAAGTAGGGATGCTTTGATGCCTTCATACACACCGATCAGCTACAATACAAGAACTAGTGACAAGTGAAGTAAATAAAATAGACTTTCTCGTTACAATGGCGCCCGTCAAGATGTGGGATATACGAGGCAGCAAGTGAAAAGTCAGTTCTGGAAGTTTATGTGTTGAAAAGCAAGAAAAATAGCCGAGCAAAAGGATCTGAGTGACTCTGACGAGGGCGAAATTGTGACGGCTAGATGGCTGGGTCAGAGCACCTCCAAAACAGCAAGTTTTGCAGGGTGTTCCTGCGATGCAGCGGTTAGTACCTACCGTAAGTGGTTCATAGAAGGACAACTGGTGAATCATTGATGCATGTGGGACGTGAACGATGCCCTGTGTGGTCTGATCCCGCAGAAGAGCTACTGTGGACTGCTGAAAACCTCAGTGCTGGCTATGATATAAAGATGAAGAGTTGGAAGAGGGATGCACTGCGGGAAGAGGGCAAGCTGGCAGAGGTGGTGTGATGCTCTGGGCTATGTTCTGCTGGGAAACCTTGGGTCCTGGCATGCATGTATATGCTACTTGTAATCATATCACCTACCGAGACATTGTTGGATAACGTGCATGACCCTACAATGCAAAGGTATTCCCTAATGGCAGCGGTCTTGTTGAATAAAATGAAGCATGTCATGAAAAGGAAACATGACAAGAGTTTAAGGTGGTGACTTGAGTTGAAATTCCTCAATTTGATCCAACATCTGTTGGACTTCCTGGGAAAAAAACAATCCATAAAGGGCCTCACAATGCAGCTTCTAGGACTGAGATCATTTGCTGCCTTCAGAGGTCTGTGGAGTCCATGCCTTAGTAAGGCAGAGCTATCTGGGCAGAATGAGGGGGATGGACGCAGTATTAGCTATGTTAAGGCTCATCATTGTATGGGTCAAAATTCTGCCTGTCTTCCTGTTAGACTTTAAGTGCAAAGTAAAATGTGAATTTTATTTAAATACTAAATGTATCAGCATGTTTCTGCATGGAAGAGGAGCACATTTATATACGGGACATTTCCTACAATATTAAGACCTTGAAATAATTAAAAACCATCAAAAAACCAGACGAGCTAGTTCAGTCAGATCAGAGGCTAAGTGTGTTTTCTCACGCAGTCGGCGTCAAGTTGGTAATCGAGCTGATGAATATATTTCGCTTTTACAAACACGTAACCCTGTTTAGCAATAAATTACGGACTTATTCACGATGCAGGAGATACTGCTAATTATGTATACACGCTCAATAAACGCCAATGCCAACCAGCGACGCTTTTCAGCGAGCGCTATTAGACGCATTCTTATACGTGCTGTATTTATCTCGTAATTTTCGAACCAGCGCCCGCCACTTTAATCACTCCTCCCAACACTTCCATCGCTGGCTCCAGTTCAAGTCTAATATATTCTGGAGGGAGATGGGATGAAGTGAGACCCTCTGGAAGCGAGAGGCGCGGTGAAAACAGAAAGTGGGATGCGTGCAAATGAGATGCAGCAGTCAGGTATTTATGATGCCGGGTAATCACCGAGGGAATTAAGTATTTAGCCATGCGAACGTTATCTCTGTATCATTAACATCGTTTACAAAGATTTATCCCCTATCAACGGGAACGACCCCGTAGCACGAGCAGTACGTCAAAACAGGCTGATCTAAGAAAGTCCTGTACACCAACCCAAGTGTTCGAATGTGTGCATCAAAGTACAGTATGGAGGAGAAGGTTTACTAGGTTTATGTGAATGTCTATTTTAGGTTGAGTTTAGCAAGGTTGTATTTATTCATGAAATCTCAATAATATGTAAGAATTCAAATTCAAATCCTCTAATCCCTTAATCCTTGCTCTCTTTTTGTACTGTCGAAAAGATGTTTAATATGATTGGTTAACTGTAACTTGAATTACAACGCCATTCAGACGATACCGCCAAGAGGACTCACAAAGATGGATTCAGAACCGTACAACCCGCGTTAACTGAAAAAAATAAGTCATGCATGTGACCTCGGGAGCAAAATATTACTTTGCCCAGATTAATTTAACAGTACAGCAAAATTGTGTTATGTTCTCAAAAATGGCTGTTTGTGTTGATTCTGCACCTGGTTCCGTTTATTCAAAACCTATTACAGGAATTCTTCCACTTTGATACAGAAAACTATTTCAAAACGCAAACACCCACCTTGCGAATGCCTTCCTTTGACTCTTCCACGTTATTTTCTCCGCCTCCGGTGCGGTTAATCATCCGCCACATCTGGGAGTACATGGGATCTCTCTCGAAGGGGTTCATCGCCTTGGAGCGCACCTGATCGTATACAGCAGAGTCCAACACTGTACCGTAAGGCAACTCTGTCTGCTTGGATAAGTCCTGCAGGGACCTATGGAGAGAGAAGCGGTGAAAGGAGTTAATATTCATGTTACATCCATTAATTGCAAGCATCTATGCAGCTTCACATCATAACATGGTTCAGCTCATCCAGCGGTCTTGCTTTTGTGGCAATCTGTCACTTTGTAGGTGTTTTTTGATTGCTGTAGCAACACCCTACTTTCAGAATCATGAGGATATATACATTATGGATAAAAATAACCAAACTTCACCCTATCTGCACTTTTTTGATGACGATGAGGGAGCATTTACAAAGACGCCAGACTAATTGTGATGGAAACTATGGCTCCGTTTAGGTGTAACGCTGAAACTCTAAGGACGCTTGTTTCAGCCGTCTAAGTCGCTTCACCCTGGAGGCTCTAGTGTATACTTCAGCCTGCACTTTCAAGTACACATTTAGCATAAATTTTGCATAATACAAATCTACAGCATGTAACAATATTCACACACACACACAGAGAAATGTTTGACACTGGGCTGACAGAGGAAAAGCATCAAAAGCAACTGCTCATCAAGCGACCAGATGAAATCCCTAACGGTGGCGCTGCTGGCTCGGCACTCATGTTTGCAATGGTGGAGGATCAATCCTACAGTCTTGGTAACTCCCAGTAATAGCTGACAGGGACTGGAGAGGCGGCCTTTTGGATGCTACACATGGAGGATAAATGGAGGGGCCAGCTGTACGGTGGTTCACACCATCTCCTCCCCATTAATGAATGACTTGGATCTTAATGCTCCATGGGCCAACAGTGGGAGTTGGCAGCGAAATGTAATTGACATGGAGCAAAAGGGGGGGAAAAAAAATGGGAATCGGCCATGACAAACAAGTGTGAAGAAATTGGGGGTGGAAAGCAGTTTAGACAGCAACACTCGCTCAGTCAGTTCACAGCGCTTTTGAAAAATGGCTCGGCTAACTGCACACTGTTGATATCTACGGCTGCAAGACGAAGAAAAAGGGAGACACTAATAAAGAATTGGAAATTAGAAAAACCACAAGACAATCTGTCTCGTCATTTTTTTTTTTTTTTATGTCTTTCTCTCTTCTCTCGCTCTACCCCTCACCCATAAATTGACACCTCTGGGGGAACCGCACAAGCTATTGTTAATTATAACGCAACAGTGCTTGGGTTGCCTTTCAAAGAGTTTGGCCGCTGAGAACTGTAATGGAGAACCATTACAGGAACTAATTACTGTTTGTTTGTTAAATGGTTGCTACATGCCACCCATGGATTTGAGAGACACACATTTGGGAAACAAAACATGCATGCAAGAACATTCAACATGTCCTGGTTAATGAACAACAAGTGCACAGTCTCTTACATCATTAATTCAGTTGTGCAACGTCCATGAAGCAGATTTAACAACGGGCACAAATCTACTGTAAGAAGGTGCTGTTGATATTATTACAAGTCAAATGCACACAGCCACACATGTGAAATAACACATTCACATTTTTTTTGTAGCTCTTGCGGTTCCCCCTCTCTCAAGTATCTCTGCAACCCATTTTAAAAAAAGGAAAAAATCCTTTGAAGATTTTAATGAACTTCACCGTGAACATGAATCTTTTATTGCCATCAATTAATCTTTGGCCTTAATAATCTCCCCTCCCCACCACTCCCCTATGAATATGTACGCCTGTCAGCACACTCTTTGACCAGGATCCCCCCTTTGTGAATTGGTTTCACTGGGTAGTAACTCAGAGCTTGTTCTTTAATGGTGCATGTGTAGGAGACAGCCAGAGAGAGAGAGAGAAACATGTATTGCCTGCATAAGATTAGATTAGAGTTCACTGGGTGAAAAAAAAAAAAAAAATCCTGATAAAAAGGATTTATAGTAGCTTGGCTGATTAAACAAAGCAAGGAGATAACAGTAAAAGCAGATACAGAGAGTTTGTATTCGGGGTGGAGTCGAGGGTCCTGAATGTTTGCCGTAATTGAAACTTTAAGCTTCAACCTTTGAAAATCCTCCCCAGATTTGACAAGGAAAGAAACAAACAACTCCAGATAATTAAAATAATTTTGGGGGAAACACGCTCGAGGATACAGTAGAAAACATGTCACGCTTTATTGTCTATTTTACTATAAACAAACCCTAATTAACAAAAATGAACATTGCGCCGTATGCAGAAAGTCCCTAAACTAGCAATTGAGACCATAAACTCATGAGGAAAATATTTACAGAGGTAACAGATCAAGTGAGAAGTTGGGCCATCTTCTCATAGACTTCTATACAATTCCTTTCTCCACCAGAGGAGTCGCCCCCTGCTGGCTGTTAGAGAGAATGCAGGTCTAAGGGAGGATGACATGAGAAAACAAAACTTTATATGTGTTGTTTTTATCAAACACTATTACATTCCTGGATTGTAATAAGAACACTGGCATTGGTTGACTCTAGATTTATTAATATGTGTGTGTGTGTGTGTGTGTTGCCTCGTGAAAATATGGGTATATAAATTATGTGTTTAATTGTCTTTTTGTGATTTTGGTTAATGCGAATTTAATTTCAGTGTGTGTGTGCCTATGTGTGTTCATGTGTGTGTCCGTCCTGTGTGTACGGTAGCTCATTTTGCAGCCAATTATATTCCCCCTAAGCAGCTCAATGAGCAAGTAAATGGAGTGAACAGCAGCTGAATGTATCCTGTGACAAATAGCGTGAATGTGTGTGTGTCGGTGAGAGAGGAAAGGTGAGTGAGAGAGGATGACAGAGACGCTAAACAGAAACCCTCTTAATTGCATTTTAGTCAGAGTGTATGTGTGAATAATCCCTGTGTGAAAAGCTTCTTCATATGTGGTCATCTGGTCATCTTTGATGAAAGGTGTTGGTAATAAGAAGCTTTTAGGACGACAAACTAGCTAAAAGCCGTGTGACCTTTAAGAGGAGAAATGCAAACAGATATGCAGTGATGGTGATTGTTGTTGATTTTATTATTACTATTATTATTATATTTGCTTGAATGACCTGGATTTGGTGTTCAAAAGAGACGCTATTTCACAAGCTGTGAAAGGCATGTCTCAAAAGCTGAAGGACAAAGACGATCTTAGCTCTGTAATTTTTAGATTTTAAAAGAAGCCTTGATCAGTTCATGAACTGCAGACTGAACTACACACAGCCGTGCAACCGCCAACAAGTCAACCGACGTTATCCATCCATCATCTATACACCGCTTAACCCTCACTAGGGTCATGGGGGGCTGGAGCCTATCCCAGCTGACTTAGGGTGAAGGCAGGGGACACCCTGGACAGGTCACCAGTCCACCGCAGGGCCACACTTAGAGACAGACAACCAAGCACACTCACATTCACGCCTACAGACAATTTAGAATCACCAATTAACCTCAACATGTTTTTGGACTGTGTGGGAGGAAGCCAGAGAACCCGGAGGGAGACGGGGAGAACATGCAAACTCCACGTAGAAAGATCCCGGGTGTCCCCACCGGGACGCGAACCGGCGACCTTCTTGCTGCGAGGCAACAGTGCTACCAACTGCGCCACCCTGCAGCCCTCAACCGACGTTATGCAGCAGCTAATCTTCTAAACTCAAATTATTCTTTATCTGGCTACTTGCAAATATGGAAAGACCCCATGACCTGTCCAGTCAGAGTATTTTATTTGTCTCTATTATATACAGCAACATGATTCGCGTATTGGTGCAGTAAGAGAGATTTTATATTTATTAGAGAGACACCCTTGTCCAAATGAGATACAATCCAAGCCACAAGGGGCCCAAATCAGATTGTGTTTCATTATTATTTCTTATGTTTTTGCTCATAATGAAGCAATATCACTATGTGGTGTTGCAAAGTAAACTTTATTTTTTAGGCATTCGTGCTTTTGTTGGTTAAACAGTGGAAACAGACATGAGGCATGAGAGGAAAAGGCTGGCTTGGCTGGGAATTGATCCACTGCTCAACAGTGGGAACACCCCTGATGGTCAGTTCTGACTTCATGAGCTTTAAAAAAAAAAAATCTCTCTTAACTATTTAAATGAGCTGATGCCATGTGACATATGTGACCACTCGCATGTCCACCGCACAATATGAAGCCGAGACACAGCAACACAAACAAGCATAAAAAATACCTGATTGGCTTTATTGGCAATCTTTATCAACCATAAATAGGACATCTGCTGTTCCACGTTGGGCCGCGAAGGAAGCTTTTTATCCTCAAACACTCCATCCATCTTTCATTCTTCTCATTCTCCCCACCCGAACCAATTCTTCCGCTCCATCTATTCCCTCTCTCAACAGATGTTGTCTGTTCCTTCACTTTTTATCCCTCCAAAATACATTTCTCATTCTGACTCACCACCAGCGCTACCCGAGACCTTCCCCTTCTTTCTCTCTCTCTTTGCTCCCCGCTTTATCTCCCAACCTCTGCCTCTTTGCACCCCCTTTCTCTTCTTCTTCTTCATCTTCTCTTCCACGTACTTGCTTCTCTTCATTTCCACTTTATAATGTTTATTCCTTTTTTTTTTTTTTTTTGTCTCGCTCTTTGTACATTGCTCTCCTGCACTCTCCCTTTTGCTACTCTCCACTGCCATCCCTCACTGTTTTCCTAAAGGATTCACACTGAAATTGAGGGAAAACATCCAAGCGTGAAATAGTCCAGAGAGGGTTCTGAACGCTCACTTGTTATTTCATTTTCAGGATGAAACAAGGGCATTAATACTTAAAAACCCTGTCTGTCCTGACGGGAGACACTAAGAAGAGCAATGCCTCTATCCTTCCCCGGCTCTTCTCTTCCTTTCCTGCCTGAGCGTTCGCTTCCTTGCTCTCTTCCATACCGGCTAATTCGCTCAGACAAATGCATCCAGTCTCGTTCCATCTGCATAATATGTTAATCAAGTATTAATAGATAAAAGTGCATGCTAATCACTAACATCACAATCTCCCTTTTTTTTCCTTCCCCCACTCAGCTACTCTCTTCATGGTCCCACTGAGGTTAATTCATGCTTCGTGATTTCTCCGTTTGTTTTACGAATGTTCCCTCTCACCACTCTTTCCATGACCCTTCTTGGGAGGCCCAAGGCCACGCGGGAGCTGCTGTTTAGGTCGCAATTATGGCTTTAATGACCCCAGAAGAGTCAACACATTAAAGATAATGCATTAAAATTTATGGAAATCCTTAATTAGCTCAATGGATGCCGAATGAGGCGGCAAACTGAGAAGGCGCTCGCTAATGACAGCGAATTTAAGTTAGAAAAAAGGAAATGTAACAAGTGAGGATAGACAAAAGAAAGTGAGCAAACTACAGTTGTACAGATTTTCCGAATGACTAAGCGGAAAGACTTGGAAGGAAGGAAGGAAGGAAGGAGGAGGGAGGAAAAAAAAAACGAGTGATGGAGGCAACAGAGAGCAGAGACCGAAGCGAAAAGGTCTGCTTCAAGAACAAGAACAACAGGGAAAAGCAGAATGACAGCGAAACGAACTGACAGAAACAAATTAAGAGACAGATAGTGATGAGATTTAGAGAAATAAATGTTGTTTATTCCGAAGCCAAGCACAATTAACTGTGGCACTGCCGGGCATAGCGGATGCTTCGGCATGCTGATTAGTCCAATGAGAGATGAGCGTTTCCTAGTGCCACCAGGAGAGAAGCAGGCAAACATATTATCACAAGGATAGATAAACAGAGGGCACAGAGCTCAGGGAAATAACGTCGGGTCGTGTGTGTGTCTGTGTGTGTGTGTGTGTGTGTGTGTGTGTGTGTAGCATGGCAATGACAGTAGAGGGTTGTTGCCTTGATACCTGAAAAGAAACAAGTAAAAATACCCTTTTTACACTTTCTCCCATGTTTGCCCGACTCTCTCTCTCTCTCTTCCTCTTTCTCGTTATCTTTCCTGCGTTCATCAGTGGAACACAAACACACACACGCACCAACACACACACACATTCGGACACACACGCACACAAACACACAAGCTAGAATCGGGCAGGAAATTACTATTTTACGACAGGGTGAAGAAAGAGGAGGTGAGAAAGGATTGAGACAAGGAAAGGAAAGGATAGGGAGGTAGTTGTGTGTTTGTGTGCACGTGCGTGCGTGCATGTGTGTGTGTTGCTTCTCATGCATTACACCTGCCTGGTAGAATGGATTTCCACTCTGGGAAACAATCAAGCACACTGAGGGACACTGCAGTGTGTCTCTGTGTGTTAGAAACAATTTGTCATGTACACAGAGCTGCACACAAACTCTGCAGTGAATAGACGTGTGTTTGTATTTGTGTGTGTGTTTGTGTGCACATAAATGCATGCAAACACACTTTTTATTTTTTTGGTCCTGAGCTTATCTGTCTTCGCCTTATGGAGCTTGTGCATCTGTACAGATGTGATGTGCGGCTTTAAAGCGTACCTAAATACGATAAACACTGGTGATACGTACTGGTTGAAGGATTTCAGTTTTTACTTTTTTATCACTAAAGAGTTTTTCAGAAATTAAAGCCATAAAGCCAAATTTTGAAGCCAGCATGGTTCTTACTTCTATAAACAGAGGACAGAGGCTATTGGATACTTACTGTATTGAGTTCTCTATGCGCGTGATGGTGAGGAAAGCTGCGAGATTGGCGGTGTACGAGGAGATGACGATAAGAGCGAACATCCACCAAACGCCCATCATCATCCTCGTCGCTAGGGTGGTGTAGGGAACCTCTCCACCTAGAGAGAAAGAAAGGAGAAGACAGTTAAACAAAAATGCGCATTAACAGAGAAAAGGTATCACATGCAAGCACCTCTTCGCTGCAGGAGAACGAGCTGTTGAAACAGCAAAGCACATCCTGGAAGATTATGTTTGGATTAACCGGATCTGATCTGATGCACTGGCATGGATTTGATCTACACAGTGCGAGAAACTGCTATGAACTGAAGGAAGGCTTCTCTAGAAAGACATCAAAAGAGCACAACTTTGACATATGCAAATATTTCTATATTAATATATGAAGTTTGAAAAACGTAGCCCGCAATTTGCAATAGATAATGTTGAAAATACGTGAAGAACAAAATGCCTGTCAGAGCCTCCCATTAGGATGTTGCCTGGAACACAATGCAGTGAAAAGTGGCTTGTCTGTCTCCAAATATAAAATCTTTTATCCCCGTCAGCTTTTTCTGGCCTTGTCCTCTGAAATCTTGTTGTGCAACAGTAAAAAGCGAACTGGCTGTGCTTTATGTGTGTCTCAAAAAAGGTTGTCACTCCAAACCTGGCCCTCGAAAGAAAACACAACACATTTATCTTTGGCTTTTCTCTTCTTCTCAGGCTACATCCGGCTACCTCCAGCCTTTCTATTCACACACACACACACATATATATATACCGCTTCTTGACAATTATGCCTTTACACACACATTTGGGCATGCATATGAAATGTACACATACACACTACCACACGCAGCAATGGCTGACTTACAGCCTGCGAGCTCTTCCTCGCTGCTTTTATTGAAGCCAGTTAGAAATTACCCTCATTCATCCTTGTAGCAGGGGATCACTGTTATGTCGACTCAGACCAACCAACGCTCTCCTCGCTCCCACTTCCTCCAGCCCAGACTCAATAATATATGTGACACCCACATAATCCCATGTTCCCTTTATCTCATCCCCCTTTTCTTTCTCCACTGTATTCGTGCCTTTTTTTTCCATCTTCCTTTCAGGCCTTTTCTGCATTGCTTATAGCATTTGATTTAATTTAAATTTGTTATCTGTCTCCCCCTCTCTCTCTCCCTCTCTCTCTCTCTGGGTTTTCTGTATCTTTCTCATGCAATACATTTGCTGTTGACATCAAGTTTTACCACAAGCCAGAAGGCACTATATTGCACAGTGCTGTACTCTATATTCAGTTCCAGTAATCCCTGTGCATGATACGGCATCTCGAGTTCGGAGTTTTTCCTCCAGAGAGTCCCACATGCGCAGTGTTTATGAAACAATTCGTGTAATTTCATCTATTTATTATATCGGGTAGATTGGCCGAGGCTATGAGCCGCCGCGTCCCTGGAACCGCTTCTTTTTTTGGGGGAGGGGGGGTGAAATAAAATCTATAATAAAGTGCTATGAATTAAAATATAATAAATATGTAAATGATATTTCTTTCAAAAGTTCACACAGTTAACTGTTGGTGAGAAACTGTGGGTCTGCCAGAGGGAAGACGAGTTGAATCTCTTCCATGGATGAATGCAACCAGCCGGCACAGATGCTTTTTACTCATAATGCGAGCTGCCAGAAATGTCCAAATATATGCCAAACCGTGACTGCAGTATCTTGGACTTCAATAGCTTCTCAAACATGACCTTTGTGAATCATTCCACCCGCAGAAGGTATTTTGGGATTTGGGGTTTCATACTGGCAATATCCATGGAGGACCGATTAAGTCGCCAGAAAAAAAACCCTATTGTCAAGTCTCAGAACAATTTTCATGTTGATTTCTGGCTGCACAAGTGACTTTTATAAAATATTTAATGCAGCTGGAAAAATGACTCTGCCGAGTTCAGACGTCTGAATGTCCCAAAAAATTTTGAAGGCGGGCAGACATGTGTAAGGTTATTTTCGACGCTTCATAGTTCTCCCTGTCCCGAGGCATTTTAAAATCAAATCACCTACGACAGGCTTTCTGAAGAGGTAATTTTGTTTTTGTTTAAAAATAGGTGTGAGAGAAAGACGCAGAGAGAAAAAAGAAAGAGTGGGAACATCTTTGTTGGACATTATATAAACTTGAAGCTCAATAAATCTATTTGGTTGAAGTGGGTGGAAAAAGCCTCCAACAAGGTTTATTTAGAGACAAGTCGAGCGCTGGTTCCTTCCCAGTTTACTGCGGACCATAGACTCTATAAAAGATGGACGTAGCTGCCGTGACGTCACCCGTTGGTTTCTGCACTGAGAAAATGAAGCCAGGGTTTTGCTACTTCCTGGTTGACATCTTGGATTTTTGGAGCCAGTGACGCAAAAATCGTTGGAGGGGGGCGGAGCCACAGGAGCAGCGATTGGTCAGACGGGCTGAGAGGCGGGCCCTCTCTGCCCGCCCACATTTACCGCCTTCTGCTCGCTTTCTCTGTATCGTCGCTGCCGACTGTCAATCAAGCCATCCACGCCTCTTGCCCCACAAAATGTTGAAGATTTTTAAAAAATTCAGTATTGATTTATTTTCAGATTGGCCACCTGATCTCTGGATTTGACCATGAAAACTAATAAGAAAAAAATCCTGAGCTGTAGGAATGCAGTATTTCATGATCTGTGATCACTTCTTTTCCAATTCCAGTCTATGGGAGCCAGGGCTTTTTGGAGCCAGCAGCTAGTGGACGTAGTGATATTGCAGGTTTTTGACACTTCCGGGTTGGCTTCATTTTTCAGGGCCGGTTGCTATGTCCATCTTTTATACAGTCTAAACTTCTATAAACTATAATAATTGATGTTCCTGTCGTGCTTGTTGCTGTCACCATGCAAATGTTAGTGAACAAAAGCACACATGGCTGTTTATATAACCTATGATTAAATTCACATTAGGAAAGCTGGACAAACTGCTATATTGGAACTTGCACTAAATATTAAATAAAATGCTGCATACACACATAAAACGGCATTACTTTTTTTCTTTTTGTTTGAAAATGCAGAATACTATGACAACTCAAGGAGGACGTGGTTCATCAGTGTGCAGCTTGCTTTTAAGTCCACGATAACAACAGCGATATCTGTGTTTTTATTATATATTTCGTTCAATAAAGGACAGAAAATAGGCCTGTCCCCGAAGTCAAATAACTCCAATCTTTTAAAAGCATCGTATAAAGTGGTTACATTCAAACAGTGCAGTGTGCCATCAATCTATCTTTCATACTTAAGTATATTGTACCCTCAGAGGCATCCTTCATTCTGTGCCCCTATCAAAACGATCTTTCATACGGCGGTGGGGTGAGGGTGAGGGTGGTGGGGGGAGGAAACACTCGGAAGGATGCTACCATTTAGGAAGAATCCCGCAGTCAGCAAAGCCTTCAAGTCGGTGAGTGATTGAGTCAAGTGTCATGTGGATGTTTGCCGGCTGCCTGTACCTTTTGTGTCTTTTCAAAAATCTCTCAATTTTCCTGTACCGTCAGCAGCAGCATCACCAGGATGAATGACAGTAGAGGAAAAAGTGTTGACAAATATAGACACAAATCCACCTGGCTAGTGAGGAGAGCTGACCGCTGAAGAGTTATCCGCCTTTGTTGGCTGTTGGTGGTGTTAGCAGCTAAGTGGATGCCCTGTTAGAATAAATGCACTGCCCTTCGTAGGGGTTCCTCCGGCACAGCTAACCAGGACGACTAAAACAGTCTATAAGGTTACTCGTCTCTGTACCTTTAAGAGTTTCTCTTCTTTCATGAACCCTTTCAAGCTTTCTTGGGGTTGGAATCCTGAAAAACTTCTTTCAAAGGTAAGAGAGTGTATCTGTCTCTGTTTGCTTGTGTGTGTTTATGGATTCTAGAGGAGGCATAGCTACCACGAAGCGGCTTTTGTGAATGCGGCTTGGCAGCTTCAAAAGCACCCTATTGTGTCCCTCAATATAGCTCTCCATTCTTACCACCATGTTTCTCCTACTTGTCCTCTTATTCTTTACTGCGCTCTCCTGTAGCTGCAGGCAAACAGCATTTCTCTATTTCTTCCTACTACACTCGAAATGGGGGGAACAAATCTGTATCCGTGGTTGGAGAGGCTCACCTACGATGTTGCACGTCGGAGCCCGATAACTTCAAAGTATTCAACGTTCTATTGTGCAGAAAAAATTGCGTGGCTGTGTTTCACATTTTGCTGTATTTCCCGGACTTCAAGGCCAACACTGGCAAGACACTAATGGCTGGCTAACATCCTGTCTTTTTTTTTTTTTTTAATTGAAAGAGTAACTGAATTTGTGGATATCTCCATAATTGATTAGTTGACTAGATAGTTAGCCTCCTGGCTGGCTGCTTGCTCTTTTGGCTGATTGACTTGCTCCAATCCTGGCTACAAGAATCTCATTTCATGACTTGTGGCTCTGCTATTTCTGTTGCTTTTTTTTCAATCACTATTAATTTCATGATATCATTTTGTGAGTCATTAAATAGGCTGGCAGCTGAGCAGATATACACCCATCAGCCACAACAATAAAACCACCTGCCTAATACTGCAGAGGTCCCTCAGCTACTGAGCCATAAACTCCACATTATCTCTGAAGGTCTCCTGTGGCATCGAGCACCAAGACATGAGCTTCAGATCCTTTAAGAAGTTGTGACTTGAGGCCTTCATGGATCGAAGCCTCCAGCACATGCAACAGAGGCTTAGTTGAGATGTGGGGAATTTAGAGGCCAACTTTGTCTTGTTGCTCAAACGGTTCCTGAACATTTTTTTTACAATCTAGCTGAAAAAGGCCACCGCCGGCAGGAAATACTGGCTAACAACATCTATATGAATGCTCGGCTCCAAGGTTTCCCAACAAAACACTGCTCTGAACATCACGCTGCCTCTGAACTCTGTGGTTACTCAGTTCTACACACAGCAAGCTGTGATGCACAGCGTGTTCCGACACCTTTCCATCATCTCCAGCATTAAGGCTTTCAGCTATTCGTGCTATCGTAGCTTTTCTGTGGGATCAGACCACAGGGGACAGTCACTGCTTCCCGTGCCCATCAGAAATTTCCATGATCCTGTTGTCGATTTATCGGTCGTC